TGGCTAGTTGCTTCCGTGAACAACTGCCTCCTTTGCCATGAGATCAGAACTGGATGGTGCCTAGCTACCATTAGTGAACATTTTGATCAGAGTCTATAGAAGAATCCTGATCAAAAGGGGGGAAATGCAGAATAGAATTTCAAATTCTCATGGAATCCAAACTTTCTGGAGCCAAGGGGGCTGGAAGAACCCCTGAAACTATTGCCCTGAGATAATCTTTAAACCTGAGACCAAAAATATCCCTTGATGTCTTCTTTAAACCAAACAATAGTTTAGCTTAACTAGTAAAGAACGTCAGCCTTGAGCATTATGGTGTTTTAAGAACTATCTTTATGGGATCAAAGTGACAACAGCAACTCGAAAGATTAGATAGAAACCTTAGGGGGCAGTGAATTTATGTTAATGGGGGAGGAACAACTCAGAAAAAGACGGTGAGAATGGTTGCCCAACTTGAAGAATGTAGTCAATGTCACTGAAATGTACTTGTAGAAACGGTTGAATTGGTATATGTTTTGCTGTGTCAAGTCTCCACAACAACACCAAAATAAAATTTTAAAAAATGTTACTTATGTGGAGTCACACAATATGGACCTTTTGAGATTGGCTTTTCTCATTCAGCCGTAATGCCCAGGAGATACATGCAAGTTGTTGTGTGAATTCTTTTTATTGCTGAGTAGTGTTTCATGGTATGAATGAATGCTGCGAGCAGTGGCCAGAAGCTGGAGCAGCATTCATGCCCCTGGGGTGCCCTGGAGGAACTGCAGAGAGGCTCTGATACCTACTAACTAGCTAACTAGCCAAGTGGATGCCTGGAGCGTCCTGGCTCGAGAACATGCACACTTTCCCCAGGGAGCCCTCTTTGTTCGCATGAGTCAAACTGGCCTTCTGTTGCTTGCAACCAAAGGACCTCACCATCATGCCTTTGTTGGCTAAGCAGCACCCACGCTGTAAGCCCCTACCCTTAGCTACCCTCAGGACTCAAAGTGCTTTAAAAAAACCTGAGCTGCCCTCCCCGAGCCTCCATATTAAATTATACAGAAAAGGGAAAGGAAAGCAATCATTCGCATCCAACCCCAGTCTTTGCCAAAAGCATGTGTCAATATGGATAGCAAGACCTGGATGTATTTAGCTTGGAATGACTAGTGACCGCAGTAAAAGGAAATTACTCGTCCTTTGAAACATACAATTAGAGTCGTAACGTGTGTTTTTGGTGCTGGGGTGTGGTTTCTAGATCGTTTGAAACTTAAGTCTACTGTTTGGCCTGTCAGCTTTAACCAGATTCTGATGGATTCCAGTTTCCTTAACGGTAACCCACAGGTACTGAAATTAAAACCAACTTGTCAGGAAGTGACAGTACTGGGCTTTTACAATCGGCAACGTTTGGCTTGGGGATCCCCCCACCCCTTTGAGTTTACAGTACTGTTGCATTTTCACCTGCCTTTTGCAGGAGGTCAATTGAAAGTTACCATCGAAATCTCAGACAGCGTAATCGCACCGGGTTGAGTAACCAGCTGCATTTGCCAGAGAGCCTCACCCGCAAGTGTTCAGGAGCTGGACATGCCTACTGGGGCATTTCTGTCTCTAGTGGAGACCAGCAGGCCTGAAAGTTCAGAGTTCTGGGCTACGCATGGCGGGTAGTGATGGTTCAGTGGTTGAATTCTCGCCTTCCATGTGGGAGACCCGGGTTCAATTCCTGGCCAATGCACCTCATGCACAGCCACCCCTGTCTCTCGGCGGACGCTTGCGTGTTGCTATGATGCTGAATGGGTTTCAGTGGAGCTTCCAGACTAAGAAAGGCCTGGTGGTCTACTTTGGAAAACCAGCCCATGAAAACCTTACGGATCACAACAGTCTGATCCCTTTGTGCATGAGGTGGCCATGAGCTGGGGACCGACTTGAGGACAGCTGACAACAACAAGCTGATACAAAGAACTAAATGCGGTCCCATACAGTCCGCAGGGTTAGAGAGGTTAGATGGTTAGCAAGGGAAGAGGAGTTGGGCCCTGCGCCTCCCGAAGCCTGGAAGGGCTTCACCAAGGACACGCAACCCTTCGGCTATTGCATATTTATCAAGTGCTGCCTCTTAGCGTGTTGGAGCCCAGGGCCACTGGACTTCCTGATTAAGGGAGTGAAACAGCCCTGTTTACATAGATAATTTGCTTAGAAAGCACTTTCCTTTTTATCTTGTGTAAATACAAAGGCAAACTTCTTTCTCTCCTCCAAGTCCTAATTTAGGAGAGTTTAAATGAATGAGCCTGTGTTTACGGGATTTTTGCATAACTCCATGTAACTTTAACTCAACGGTGGAAGTGTTTTGGTTCGTGTATTCAGTGCCTCAGCGGGCATCCAGCGGGCGCCTCCTATGGGCCAGGCACTGTTTTACGGGCTGAGGACACAGCTGTGGGCAGAAGGGGCATGGGGCTCGCTTTCTAGTTGGAAGCAGAGACCGACAACAAGTAAGAAAATAAATAAACAGGAAAATGGCAGGTGGCGATAGTGCTAGGATGACAGGCACAGTGATGGGGACGCGGGGCTGCACTAGATGAGGGGGCCCCAGAGGCCTCTCCAGGGAGAGGCACTGAAGCCGGCTTCTCCGGGACAGGAAGGAGCCGGTCAGATGAGGATGTGGGCAGGCAGGAATCTAAGGGACGCACAGGGCGTGAGGAGGGGCTAAGACAGAAGGAGATTGGTCTGCTGAACAGACGGAAGGGAAGCTGGGGTGCTGGCTCTGGGGGACGCCAGACTGTGATCACAGGCGAGGTCAGAGAGGTGGAGGCCATGAATGGGATTGCAGCCTCCAAGGCTAAGGGTTTTGGGAAGCCAGTGGCAGGTTTTTGGATTCTCGAGGTGCTGGGTGGAGAATGAATGGCTGGGAGGCAGTGGCTGAAGCTGGTTTATATTAGCGAGGATAGAGAGAGGTGGAACTGTGTCCACCTGTTTCCAGATATGGGTGGAAGCACAATGGTCAGGACTTCTCAGTGGATTAGATGAGGGATAAATAAAGAGAGGCTCAAGGAGGCCTCCCAGATGGGGGGCCTGGGTAATGAAGGGGTGGTAGGGTCCTGGAGAGGGAGGATGAAAGCTCTGGTAGCGGGGCTCCGTGTACTGCTGGGTAGGTCGTGCACTGCACAAGTGAAATCCCGTCTATGCCCCACACGACCAGCCCAGGTTGCTCACAGCCCAGAGCAGGCTGAACATGACCCACAGAACACCCCCTGGCAAGGCTGGTGCTATAAAGGGAGGAAATGAGGGTGGGGTAGGTGCGCCGTGGTAGCAAAACACAGCAAGCACCTTGTGTCCATCAGTAGGGGCTGGTTGAACCCACTTTGTTACATCCACATATTGGAATACCATGATGGTGGCGGTGCTTGTGTGCCGTCGAGTTGACTCCAACTCATAGCAACCCCATGTGACAGAATACAGCTGCCCTATAGGGTTTCCTAGTCTGTAATCTTTACAGGAGCAGATTTCCAGGTCTTTCTCCCATGGAGCCACTGGTGGGTTCAAACCACTGACCTTTAGGTTAGCAGCTGAGCGCTTAACCATTGCACCCCCAGGACTCTTTTGGAATACCATGCAGCCAGTGAAAAAAAATTTTTTTAACTATATGGTAGAAAGAGTACTTTGTATTGATGGGAAATTCTCTCAGCAAATTAAGTGAGAGAAGGCAGGGTGCTTCAGTTTACACATACGTTGGTTTTCCCCCAGAAGGGACACTCAGAAGTCTGATCGTGGCTAGATCTCTGGGGGAGAGAGACCACGGTTGAAGGAGATGAAAACTCCATTTGATGCTTTTCCACGTAGTTCACATGGAAATCTCTTTTTTTACTATGTGCCAGCTTTATTTTACAACTAAAAAAAATTTTTTTTAAACCTTGGGTATGAGGCGGAAGTGTCTAGCCCACAGAAGGCACACACAGAGTATATGATGGAAGCACAAACGAATGGACCGAGGTGTCCTTGGTGGTGAAGTGAGGCCACGGCGGGTGAGAGACCACGGGAGCCGGCTTGAGTATTTATGGAAAGAAAGGAGGTTGGGAAAGGAGCTAGAGTGGGGTTCCGGACATAAGGGGGCACTCCCCCTTGCTCTGAGCCTCATGCTCTAAGAGGGTAGGTGCCGCTGTCTTGGTGGGGCGCAGGGTCTGGAAGGGTGACATCACCCACAGAGCGGGAGCAGGCAGGGGCTGAGTGGATGGCTTCAGGAGAGCGTGAAGTTTTGGAAGGGACACTGAGGCATCCAAGGACAGTGCTGACCCCACAGCTAAGGAACTTTCTTCTTAGGGGCAAGGAGGAGGGGTCGAGGGGCTGATCAGAGGTCATGCCTGGAGAAGGCTGGGAGAATAAGAGGCTGAGAAATCCAGGTGTAAGGGTTGTGGCCATGGTGCGCACAGTCCTGGGAGGGTGGTAGTCACTGCTGGTTGGCTCCCAAAACCCGCTCTAGAACCTCGGTCTTTAGCTGGGCACCTGGCTGCCAAAGTTATCACAGCGTTCCCAGCTTCCCTTGAGGTTGGCATGGCCAAGGGTGTGTGAGCAGATGTGGTCTGTGTGCCTCTGGGTGCTGCCCTCCCCTTCTGCCTTTCCCCGGGTAGAAATGCATACAGGTCAAGAGCCCAGCTGGACCTTGCAGACGAAGGCTACACCCTGGAACAGGGAGGAGCAACAAAATGGACGGAGCCTGGGCTCTGGAGAACTCTGCCACACAGAGCCACCAAACCTGCCCACCTTTTCTGCAGGAGGGAAATCAGTGTCCACCTGGTTTCCACCATTGTTCTGCTGGGTCTCTGTCATAGCAGCCAAACTGTGTCCTAGTGGAGGTCACTAGGTGCTAGAGGGCTCTGAAGCCAGGCATGGACCAGTCTCTCAGATGGACACTGGCCAGTGATGAGGCTCCAGGAAAGGGCATGTAGACGTGAGCAGATGTGAGTGAGGTGTGGACGGCCTCGGCCAGCCCAGAGCAGTGGCCGGGGGTTGGGAAGGACACCCACTGGCAGGTGGCTAGCATGGCCACCAAGGATGAGGGGCTTTTGCATGAGGGAGGAGGAGGTATGTGCTAGAAGCAGCACTGACCTAGGGCCTGCAGTCAAAGAGGCCAAGGTCATCGGGATGGGCAGCATGGACTCAGCTGGTCTCAAGGCCCAGGCAGACTTGGTGGCCAGTCCAGAGGGACTCCCACCAACAGCCTCCTCTGGCTCACATGCTCCATACCCCCTCCTGGTCAGGCGGGTGTCCGTCTCCATTCCCACGTGGACCAGCAGCACCCGGCCTTTCTTCTTTCACAAGCCCAACTCAGGGAAGCCAGGGATGCGAGCAGAAACCTTTTCTTTTCCTTCAGGAAAGGAGAGCCTTGTTAACCGGGAAAAGCAACATGTGAAACTGCATTTGTGGTTGTTGTTATGTGCTGTCGAGTGGATTCTGACTCATAGTGACCCCATGGGATGGAGTAGGACTGCCCCACATGGTTTTCTAGGCTGTAATCTTGATGGGAGCAGATCGCCGGGTCTTTCTCTGGCGGAGCAGCTGGTAGGTTTGAACCGCCAACCTTTCGGTTAGCAGCCGAGTGCTTAACCGTTGCACCAGCAGGGATCCTTGAAACTGCATTTCAGCGTCCTTTAATAGGTCCCCCAATTACTGAAGGGGTTCATTCTGGAGGCGAAAATTTCAGCCCCACCACACCTAGCATCTGATTATCATGCTGCCCCTGCAAACAAATGTCCTTATTGAGCGAGACACTTCTGAAGCCAGTTTACATAGTCTTTGCTTGGCTGCCCTTGTGAGCTACTGAATTGGAAAATGCGGTTTGTATTGTAAGGCCTCTTAATAATGTTTTTTTTTTTATGAAACAAGGGAGTTTTCCATTGCAAATGAGACAAAGGACACTCTGTTTAGCACAAAGAACACCTCCGTCCGTTTTGAAACATAATTTTCATTAGGCAGTGTTTTCACTGCAACAGGGATTTAAATTTTATTTAAAAAACAGCTTGTGTCTCCCCGCGCCCCCACCAAGCACATGTATTTATGCATGTTCCTCTGTTTAAAAAAAAAAAAAAAGGAGAAGTTCTGGAAAGATACAGAAATAGCCACAGTGGTCTCTGCTGGGAAGGGAGGATGATTGGGGGGTGCTAAAGGGAATTCTGCTCCACCTGGATTTGTTTTTTTTTTTACATAATGAGAACATATGAATAGACGGGAGTCCCTGGGGGGCTGCTAACTGAAAGGTTGGAGATTCGAGTCCACCCAGAGGCACATTGGAAGAAAGGCCCGGCGATCTACTTCTGGAAAATCAACCACTGAAAACCCTAAGGGGCACAGTTCTACTCTGACACACAGGAGGTCACCATGAGTCAGAATTGACTGGACGACAAGTGGTTCTGGTACCACCATCTCATCCCTCCCACTGGCCCCTCTAGCGAGCCTGGTGTGTTAGATGTGATCCTGGTTAACCCATATGAAGCCCACTGGGTCCTTGGTACTGCCTGGCAGGTCTCCTGTGTCCCCCAGGAGCCTCCAGCCCCCCGCCCAAAGGTTTCCCACTCCCCTCCCATCTGGCCTCCTCCACAGAGACCATCCAGGCTGTGGTGGGCCCCTTCCGAGCTCGCTCGCACACCCAGCCCTCGGAAGCCGAGCCTGCCTTTCTCTCCTGCTTTCCCCCCCTGCCAGGAGGAGCGGAGCTTCCGCCAGCTGCAGGCCTGGCCCACCCAGCACTCCCCGGCCCCCACCTTCTGGACCACCGGCCTTCGTGGTTTTGCCCTTGTGCCCCAACAACTCCTTCTCCGCCCTTTCCTCAGGCTGCTGCCCTGTAAGTCAGCGCCATCCAAAGAAATCCAGTGAAACCTCGCCACAACCGCCCTGTTTTTCCTGGTCTCAAAAGTTTCCCGCGTTAGACAGGGCGCAGTCTCCACTTTTCTGTAGCTCATTTGAGGGGAAAATATTTGCATTTTCCTTCTCTGACATGTTTCTGCCTTACACAGTTTCCAGCTTTCACAGGTTTATGGTACAACTCCAGCCATCTATGTAATTTAAAATTTTCTAGTAGCCGAGTATTTTTTAAAAAAGGAGAAAAGAAAGAGGTGAAATGATTTTAATTAGGTATTTTGTTTAACCCATCATATCCAAAATATTATTATCTCAACATGTACAACCAGAGTGCTCCTTAGAAGCAAGGATGGCGAGACTACATCTCAGATACTTTGGACATGTCATCAGGAGGGATCAGTCCCTGGAGAAGGACATCATGCTTGGTAAACTACAGGGTCAGTGAAAAAGAGGAAGACCCGCAACGAGATGGATTGACACGGTGGCTGCAACAATGGGTTCAAGCACAGCAATGATTGTGAGGATGGCGCAGGACCGGGCAGTGTTTCGTTCTGGGGTGCATGGGGTTGCTATGAGTTGGAAGCAACTTGACAGCACCTGACAACATGTGATCGATTTTAAAAATTATCAAGATAGTTCACACTCTTTTTTTCATGGTAAAGTCTTCAAGATCTGCTGTTTATTTTACATTTACAGCCCATCCCATTTTGGATGCAAAATTTTCATTAGAAATACTTGACCTATATTTAGGTTTTATAAAAGCTACAGTTGAAAAAAGACGTGTTCTAACCCAAGTCTTCCAGACATTCTTAAAAGTTCTCTAATAACTGAATTAAAGTATTAGTTTTTCAAACTAATCATTAACTTTATATGGAAAGGGAAGAAGCCCTGAATAAGTAAAGCACTAATGAAGAAGAAGAATAAAGTTGGAGGACTCACACTACCTGACTCGAGAACCTACTATACAGCTACAGTAGTCAAAACAGCCTGGTACTGGTACAACGACAGATACATTGACCAATGGAACAGAATTGAGAACCCAGAT